TTTTTTTTTTTTTTTTTTTTTTTAGTTTCTTTAAGAACCTGATGAAAGTATAAAATAGTTTCTATACTATTATAGAATAGAATATAAAGATGGACACTTTCCCAAGGAAAAATGTGCTTGCATAGCTATGCAATTTGAAGAAAGTTTACAGAACCCTTAAAATTTACCCATGAGGATCTTGCTTTAGGATATTTTCAGTTGATGAGGGGCTTCAGTGATGTTTGAAGGATACACGGTAGACCATGGCTTCCTAATAGCCAAGCCCCTCACCTCCCAAACTGCTCCACACTGACGCTAGACAGGCTCTGTGAAGGAGGTTATAGCATTCCTGATTGATATGTTATAACTGGGAATGACTAGTGTAGAACTGGAAAAGGCACAGTGGCCTGATCTTTCAACCACTCACCTGTCTAAAATCCTCACACTAGCCTGCTCCACTCTGTTGAGGATGTTCAAAGGTGACTTGTTTTTATTCCAGAATGCACCCCAGCCTAGGACACGGGCCAGGTCATTGCCAGTTCCAAGTGGGATGACTGCCAGCTGACACTGCAAGAACAAAACCAGGCACCCTTTTCAGACAGAACTACCAAGATTCACCCATAAAGGAACCCAGAAAGCACTCTTTGGGAAAGATTGTGGTCTCAAAGCTAGTGGCAATAAGAGATTTATGATTCTAGGAAGTGTTATAGGAAGATGTTCAAAATTAAGTGAAAATTTGCCTAAGGAGTTGGGCCCCACTCTTGGCCATACAGAACCTACCCAGTAAAGGGAAAAGTTGCTGGAATATGCTAATATGCATAGATATGTTTATAAAAATATATAGCCACAGATTTATATCCAGGCTGGGCCAAAGAGATGAGGTGTCTCAAGATTCAAAGCTACTGGATTCAAAAGAGCAGAGGGCTGCTTAGGGAAAAGGGGGTGGAGGTAGAGGAAAATTTCTGCTACTCTTGAGACGCAAGGAAAAAAATCAGTTGCTTCAGGAGGTGTAGGAAATTAGGGGCTTATTTTCCTCCCCTTCAAATCTTCACTTTGGGGCTTGGGGAATAGGGCACTGCTCATTTTTTCTGCTAACTCCCTCATTTCTCCATCCACAGATAGACAACCAGAAAATGGTCTAGGTGAGCAGGCTTAGACTGAAAATCTACCAGTCAGGTTGAGTATGAGACCAATGGGAAACATGTATTTTACAGACAGGGAAAGTGAAGACCAGGGACTTCTTGGGATGAGAAGCTCCACACCCCATCTCTCTAGCAATGGGTAAACTGAGTCAGCTAGGGACTCACCTTTTCATGCAATCCTAAGGCATCAATCAGAGATAAGACCCAGCTCACACTGCCATCCCCACCACAAACCACAATACGAAAGCGAGCAAAGTTCTTGAACATGGATAGCCTGGAAGAAAAAGGAGAAAAGGGAATCATTTCATGAACTGCTGGGTTTCATAGCTCTTTCCTACAATGTGCCAGGGCCCAATGACTACTGCTTCTGTACCCTGCTAACAGACTGCCTACCTTTTCTCTCTTAGCCCCTGTCTCTCTGTGTTCCTAAAGTTATAGGCAATGTTTCCACAGGAAGTCTTGCAGATCAGATCTTGCCTCAACCCACATTATTCTTTGCCCAATCTTGCTCTGAAAGTTACTAGTAACCTAGCTAAATCTACCTGCTGAGGTTCAGGAAGAATGTCTCACATGATGGTCAGTGGGCTCACAGAAACCAGGGCTGAACAGCCAGATGGTCCTCAAATAAAAGAGGACTGTGGAAGAGATATATTTATTTGACCCCATGG